CTCTGGAGATAGAAGATGCTAGCAGAAAATGTCACATTTTTTTTTCCTGAAGTAGAAAAAAAATTTATGTTTTTAATTTTTCCGAAAGTTTCTATTTTGCTTCAGAAGAAAATGTCCTCCCCCTGGAATTATCCCAGCAGCCACTTCCAGGTATACAGGAAAGGGAATGATATGAGTTTGCATACAGTTTATGTGTATCCACGTGGGCTGGGTCATCTGTGCTCAGGGTGTTTGTTTTTTTTTTTTTTTTCTTTTTCTATATTTTTCAAGAAATTGAACATTGGCTCTTTGCAGTGGAAAGAATCAACACTGGCAACAGGGCAGTGGAAACCACAGTCAAAGCCCTCTTCGCAGAGAAGGCAACTTCTTCACAAGATCTCCCATCCTCTTCTTTTATAAGATTTTGGATGGCTTTAGTCACCATGATAAAAATAGCAGCTGTCATCTCTATGCCAGGCCAGCTGATTGATATATATATAATTTTATTCTATTCATCAACCCTGAGACGTAGGTGCTACTTCTAGTCCACTATAGGAAAATAAGTTTGAAGGGGCAACATGGTTTACTCAAGATTGTTCCTTTAGGTAGTGGCACAACCAAGATGCAAACCCCACAGCTGTCTGACCCCAAGACCTTTGTTATTAAGCTACTAAGTTATATTTTCTACCATCTCTGCGCTGCTTGGTGTTCTTCTGTCTTTATTCTTGCCCTTATCAGCCATGGACTGCTCTCCCCACATGGGTACACAGTTTTCGCTGTCATTTGAAGAACAGTTGACTGTTCTGAAAGTTAAGATAAGAAAGTTAACATTAAGATACAATAGTTTACTTATTCCGTTTAGTTTGTTTCTAGTTTCTCAATATGATAGATAGTGCAGGTGTAAACAGATTTGTGCAAATAAGGGCAGTTTGTTGGGTTTTTCAGGTATTTGATGATGGTCCCCAAAGTAGTATTGAGCCAAAGGGTTATACTTCCACGGTTCTCCAGATGGCCTGTGCCATTCAGCTACCCACACAGTGATTATTTTTTGAGTGCCTACTGTGTCCCGGGTGTTGGAGGCGAGGAAGGGATTCAGAAGCAGCCCCTCTCTCAGTATACTCCCAGTCTGGTGTGGCGCACCTGGTGCAACATAGAAGCAATGGTGCTGCGTGGTGGTGCAGACGGGACAGCAAGATCGCTTCGAAATGTGTCCCTGTTAGTATCTGACTGCTCCTTTCCCACAGAGCGTGCCAGGGACAGGGACAGGGGCTGCAGTGAGGCCAGGGAGGAGCACCGTGAGAGCCAGGCGGCCTGGAGCTCAGTCCTGAGACCCAGCTCTCCAGCTGCCGCCTGGCTGAGGACCCCCCTCCCCAAGTCTTCGCATGGCCACCACCTGGCACAGGAGGCCCGTCGCTGCCACACAGCGGCCAGTAGGGGGAGCTGAGCAGAGGCCGGAGAGAAGGGCCACCCCCGTGGCTCCAGCTGTGTGGCAACGTGAGCACCAGTCCCCTTCCAGACCTCTCTTCCCCTGTGTGTCCCCGGCGTCCAGGGCGACAAGAGGGTGCCCACTTTGCACACAGTCAGCAGACAGGCGGGTGCACACCCTAAGTGCGTCTCTCAGTGCGTGTTCCCAGGCCGGGCTCTGTGTCAGACGCTGGGAAAACAGACGAATCAAACCGGGCCTTGCTGCGCAGCGCGTGGTCTGGAGGGGGAGGCTGACGAGGAAAGAACAGTCCAACTTGATAACGGAAGTCTAGACAAGGAGGCGCAGGAGCACTGAGCACTGAGTTTCTTAGCAGAGTCTGAGAATGTGTTTCTCCAGTGCTCCGCCGTCATGACGCTGGCTGTGCCACAGCCCCTCTTCACATCTCAGCCTCTCCATCTATAAAGTGGAAGGATGAGCTCTGTGTCCTCAGAGGGCCTTTTGACCCAGGTGTGTCATGTGCCTGCATCTTGTTCTTAAAGCCAGGCTGAACTTTTGCAGAAGACTCCCCTGGTTTATGCAGTACGTCTCCTCCCTCTTCTCACACAGCGCTTCACCTCTGGCCTTCGTCTCAGTACACTCAGGCTGCAGAACTTCGTTCACCACTCGTGCTGATGCCACCCACGTCTGGGTGCTCACCCTGTCCTTCTCACTGAGCCTGTCACCAATAATAATAACAATAATAATATGCATTTGTTAAATCTAGGTATGGTACTATAATTCTGCCATATTACCTCATCTCATCCAACAAACTTGTGAAATAGATAGTGCCATTCCATTTTTCAGAGGAAGAAATCTGATATCAGGAGTTACTGAGATATGCCCAAGCCCCTGAAGTTGGTAATGATGGAGCCAGGATTTGAAAACCTCCACCAAGCCGGGTGTGGTGGCGCACGCCTGTAATCCCAGCACTCGGGAGGCTGAGGCAGGAGGATCGTTGTAAGTTCGAGACCAGCCTGGGCTACAAAGTGAGCTCAAGGCCAGCCTAAACTGTGTAGTGAGACGACCAAAAAAAAAAAAAAAAGAGAACCTCCACCTGCTGGGTTCCAAGACCCTCCCACTCTGTGTCCTACAGTCCGTCCAGCTCCCATGGGCACATTTCCATATGGATGTCCACAGACACCTCGATTTCTGCATGTCTGAAAAGGACCTGATTATTTCCTATCCTTGCTTCCGTCTGCCTTTTCTTCCCTCCGTTTCCTCAGCACGGTAAATACTATCATCAATCCAGAGGTGCCCAAGCTAGGACCCTGGGAGTGTTCTTTGAACCTTTCTCTTCCTTAGCCCCTGGTGGCCAGTCTTCTGCTGTGTCCTGGTGGTTTCTTCCTCCACTCTCCCTTCTTGAGCTCCTGTTCTCTCTCCAAGTTCCCCCAGCAGTCTCCGTACCAGTCCTGGTGCCTCAACTTATCCTCCTGCCACTGATCAGGGTGAATTCTCACCAGTGCATGCACGATCCCAGCACTTTCCTGCCCCCAGTTCCCCATGCTCTTTCATAATTGTACAGCAAAGCACAAAGCTGGCCATGCATGGCTTGAAATTCCGTCTGAAGACATGTTTTGTTTTGTTTTTGATCTACTGAGCAATCTTAAAACATGTTAAATTAGTTGCTAACGTTTAAAATCAGGAAATTCCACATAAAGATTCATATTTCTACTTTTTCTTGCAAAGGGTAAAGAGCTGGCACCTCTTGGCCCACATCCCTGCAGGACAGTGGTCGGTGCAGCCGAGTGATAGCTGCCCTCTTTAGAAAGAGTACAAGTTTTCTGGTTTGTCTATGACTAGCACTATCTAGTGTCTTTTAGACCCTGGTCACATCACCGCTTCCCATTACTTGCCCAAGATCAGAGGCATTTGAGGTCATGACCCTGTTGCCCAGGGTGAAACCCAAAGCCCTCACATGGCTCTTCCGGTCCTGTGTGAGTCAGCCTGGGGAATACTTCTGAGTCTTACCTCAGCTCACTACTTGCATCACACTCTCCCCTGGGACCCCACTGAACCTGTAGCTCTCCAAATTATGTCTGTCTCTGTGTAGGCTCCTGCTTTGGCTGGTCTAGGCCCCTTGTGAAGTCCTGTCTGTTCTTCAAGACTCTGCTCCAATTCTCCTCTACCAAGAAGCATTTCTTGCCCTACCTCTCCTGTCCAGGCTGAGTGTTGCCCTGTCCCGACAGGTGGTGTAGACCTTAGTCACCCTCCTAGTCTCACTGTGTTATAATCGCTGGCTGTGAGTCTGCGTCTGCGGGGAACTTGTCTTCTTAGAATATACTAGGCATCTCAAAAGGTTGAATGAATGGATGAATCCGTGAAAAACTGACCTGGGAAAATACTACTCCAGGATGTGATGTCACCCCGCCTTCACTGAGACTTGGGAGGTAGGGGAGAGGGCAGTCCCGGTCCTATTTGTTCTCTAACTGCCCTCTAGAGTGTGCTTTCACAGCGACCCTTGTGGTGTCCTATAATTCATGCACCCATTTTGGAAATATCTAAACCTCTTAAGATAACTACCAGTGATGAAGCAGGGAAAATATATCATTTTGAGTGTCTTTTGGGGAAGGAGTTGTTCAGTAGTTGTGAGATGGTACAGCCATTGGATATGGCACATTATTCAGTTCTTTGAATTATAGTGATGATAAGGAGCGCATCCAAAACTTACTGAGCATGCACTGTGCCAGACCCTGATGGTACTGTTGACCCCGTTTTACAGGCAAGCAAACTGAGATTTTGGAAGTTTTATCAACTTTTTCAGGCCATGTGGCCAGTCAGTGCCAGATTTGTGATCCGGGTAGAGCCTGCTAAGCGATCTGGTAAAGCAGACCCAAAATGGGTCCAGTCTGAAGTCCTGTCCGAGAGTTCACCATTTGAACCCAGATCTATCTGACTTCAAAGTTAGTATTTTCAACCACCATGCTATAACTCCTCAGTGACTTTTTTGTTCACAACAGTGAGGAAATAAATGTGCAAATGAAGACTGTGCAATTATATATGCAGTGAGATTCCAAGTATTAATTTAGAAAAGAAAGAAACAAGGTACACACTCATGTGTAAGCAGTGGTTGTATTCCTATAGTAGGTTACCAGAGTTGTTTTTCTTTTTCTCTTCTGCATTTTTCCGACTTTTTAACATTCTAAATCACCTTTAATGAGAATGTATTACTTTTTTTTTTTTTGCAGTACTAAGAATTGAGACCAGGACTGTTGCACTGACTTATATCCCAGCCCTTTTTAAAATTTTGAGACAGGGTCTCCCTAAGTTGCTAAGTTGCCCAGGCAGGGCTCAAGCATGCGGTCCTCTTGCCTCAGCCTCCCAGAGTGCTGGGAATGTATTACTTTTATAATGAAGACATTCCTCTCGTCGCAATGGCCCCAGCATCATCTAAGAGTGTGGCGAAGAAGGAGCTAGTAGGAGTGCCCAGTTAAGCTGTTAATTGAGATGCTGCAAGGTAGAAATGAGCAGACTGCAACGGGTAGCAGCAGGTGCATCTGTGTGTGCGAAGGAGAAGTGGGGCGCTGTTTCTCCTCTCACCATGTTCTCTCCTCCTCAGGTGCTTACACTCCAGAGCCCCTCTGCAATTTCCGGTGGGCTCTTCTGTCAACTGGCCTCATGTTCTTCTATCACTTCAGCATCCTGCAGATCCTCGGCCTGGTGAGTTGTTGATCTCCCCTTCTACCCCCTCTGCTTGGAGTTCTCCATAAATCTTGATAATCCTGGTTGGTGCTGGTGTATCTTTTTGTTTTGAAAATACAAGGTGCTAAAGGCCAGGATATCAAATTGTTGGGTCTGGGTTGCTGATTTATGATCTACAGTAGCCTTGACCTCTCTAAAGTTTTCTGAATCCTTTAGTAATAGCTGTTTTCTTCATCCCTGGGGAGGTAAGGATACCCTTTACTGCTGGTCACTTGAGCTGCAATGGGGAAGTGGTTTTCTCTAGACCACATGGAGAGGTAGAGCCCTGACCTTGGCCCTGGGCCTGGAGAGGCCCCTACCTTGGATCCATTCTGGGTCTGTGGTCCCTTTTCAGGCATTGCCCTGAGTTGTGTGGCCAGTGGCAGTGTGGGGTTGGGGAAGCCCCACAGCATTCTGCAGCGTTTAGAATTGCCTGGGTGTGGAGAGTGGTTGGATTCAGTTGCTGAGCTATTTCGAGCCCAAGACTGCTGATATTACAACAGTGTGTATTGGTGGTGAGATGAGGAGGAAGAGCTCAGGATGGGGCATGGAGGTCAGAAAACCCAAGTTCAACCCCTGACTGAATGCTCTCAGTGAGTCACCTCACCCTTGAGGACAGAGAGCTCGCCACCTCTCTGTGACATGGTCTGAAAGCTCCAACTTCCCTGAGAGGTGATGAGGATTCTCTTTAATGTGAACAGGATTGAAGCGCTCTGCAAAGCAGGTTTTGTGGCTGTCCTCTGGGCAGGAGTGGTGTGTCTAGTTTTGTGTTGGCAGCATTATTGGAGCACTAGCCATGCAGAAACGTGAGCAACCTTACATGATGAGGGCATGCAACTGTTGTCCCAAGCACCCTTGAAGAAACAGTTACCTTCTCTTCCCCGGCCTGGTGAATGCCTCTGTTGTAATTTGCCAGGGGTAGTCTGAGTTCCTGGCCACCAATGTGAATGCTTCCTGTGCTCGTGGGAGGATGTACTATGACCCACACACCCTTCCTCACCTCTCACTGGTCCTCAGTGACATTCTGGATTCCAGAGGCCTCAGTGTGCTCATGTCACCATACATACCATGCTTGTGTGCCTTCTATAAGGAAAGCTCCACTCACTCGACATAACTCCCCATCCATCTTTCATGAGTCCATGCAATGCCCTGTACCTCATGAAATCTTCTCTGGGGACTCAGCCCCCAATCATTGTGCCCCTCAGACCTCCTCATGAGGTGTAAGGCTCGGTGGGCACTGTCTGGTTTGAGGTTAGATGCAGATTGCCCCACTTGATTGATCATCAGCTAAGGGACAATGCTGTTAACTGCTCTTTCATCCCATAATGTCTCTCCAGGGATTAGGCATTAATAGATACTTAGGGATAGCAATGGCACCCCAACCCTATGCACCACAGGATGGATCCTAAGCATAACAGGACCGCCTTTCCACTGCACAGCCTGTTCCATTACTTCCAAAGAGCTTTAGCTTCAGTCCACTCCAAAAGCCCAGGGCAGAGATTCTCTTCATGAACAGGCGGGGATTGGTCAATCCCTCCTTGTCTAGTCTCCCATTAGGTAGAGATGGCTGAACTGGCAACAGCCAGAGAAAGCCTAAGGATGGCGAACGCTCACTCTGCCTCCCTTGTCCCTGCAGGTCACCGAAGTGAATTTGAACAACATGCTGTGTCCGGCCATCTCAGACCCATTCTACGGCCCCTGGTATCGCATCTGGGCCTCGGGACACCAGACTCTCATGACCATGACCCACGGGAAGCTGGTCATCCTGTTCTCATACATGGCTGGGCCCCTGTGTAAATATCTGCTGGATTTGCTCCGGCTTCCAGCAAAGAAAATAGACTGAAGGTGCTTTTTTTTTTTTTTTTTTTTTTTTTTTTTACAGGTCTTTTTTTTTTTTTTTTTTTTTTTTTTTTTTTTTCCTCCTCTCTCTCCCCCTGAGGAAGCAAGTCCTGACTTGACTTGGAGAACACCCAGTTCTTGATGAAATCATGGGAGAGGACATTAGATGTTTGGTGTATTTCTTTTTTCCTCCTCTCTGTCCCTTTCTTCCACCGCTCTCCTTCCTCAGCTCCTCCCCCCAGGATGTCTCCTTGTGCCTGGGGTGTGGGGCTGGGCAGGATCCTTCCTCCTTCCCTCCTTCCCTCTGCTGGCTCTGTCTCCCCCACTCCTAGTGGCCTTATCTAGGGAGATGGTAGTCAGCAGCTGTTTTGCTGTGCTTGTTGGTGCTTTAACAACAGCTGGTTGAGGAGACAGGGAACAACAAGCAGTAGTTTTGCCTGTGTCACAGCAATGACCTGGGTTGTGTTACATTTCTCCACTGCCAGGGACCTCCATGCTTGTGCAGGGATCCCTTTCTGTCTCCAGCACAGCCCTCACTGCAAGGGGACTTGAGGCCTTGTTCTCTACCAGCAGCAAGACCAGAGTCAAGGGATTTCCCTGCTCAGGGCCAAAATAGAACTGGCCACATTCTTCCCACCAGTGTCATGACTCAAAGCAGGGAGCCACCCAGCCACTCCCTCCAGGACACTGCCTGGGTGGGAGGTGAGCTCACCGCCCCAGCCTAAGGGTGAGATTCCACTGAGCCTGGCTGGGGAACTCTTGCAATGTGAATCCAAAGGGAGGAGGGTGAAAATTTAGAAAGTATCAAGCAGGACCCTGTGCAGACTGTCAAGGAGAGCTGAGATCCCATCCACCTCCCCGTTAGAACCCACATCCCTATTAGAAGTGAGCATATAAATTAAGGAAATATTAGTGAAAGTGGTAACTTGAGGAACCTGTGATTGGAACCATGTGCCGGGTTCGCACTGATGATAGATCCCGTTTCAATCTGCAGTGCTCCTTCTGGTGTTCTCCTTTGTCTCTCTGCGTCCCGGTCCCACTCTAAGGCAGCTTCAAGGAAGAATGACCTTCAGGGAGTTTGGAATTGTTTTGCTTTATGTTTCTGTTTGTTTTTGGATGTTTGAATTAGGAAAACCCTTGTGACTGGGCCCATTTCTGGAAGTCCCCGGAGATCCATTTCTGGGCTTTACCGTGTGCAGCCGCATCCCAGTTTGGGAAGCTGCAGCTCCTGCCAAAGCATTGTTTCCCTCTGGCCAATTTTCTTCAGTGCAGCCAGGTTCCATGCTGCAGTGTCACGTGGTGGGGGGGCATCACATGCTTCCTGCCCTGCCGGTCCTCAGAGCTCACGTCTAGTTTGAAAGGGGGCTGCCAAGGGACCAGGTCCCCGCAGGTGGAGATTGAAGTGCTCCACAGGATGAGCTTCTCTTGAAAGGTTTGTGCTCAGTCATGCGCCAACCTCAAGAAGGGAGGCAGGAGCTGGAGGTTTGCCGGTTCCCTGTTGCCTGCTACCTGGATCAGATTTGCTTCAAAACAGAAATGCTCATCCAGCAACTTCCTCCAGTGAGCCTCCTCCGCCCTCCACCACTCTAGACAACGCTGTTGCCCTGAGCCACTACCAGTATTTCAGGTTTGGCCATGTTACACACAGATTGAGCTTCAGTGGCTCAGCGGTCATAACTTTAGCAAAGACACTTGGAGGCAGCAGTATGTGGGAAAGTTTCTCTAAATACATACAGGCCTGAGGAAGCAGCCCTCAGAGGACTGCCCGTTGGCAGAGGCCTGCTGGGATTGAGGTGGTCAAGTGGAGGAGGGCACAGAGAGCCGGAGGGGAGGACATGAAGTGCCCTTGTTCCCCTTGAGCTCCTTATAACATAAAACCTTTGTTTTCTGCCCTCCTTGAGGCCTGGGCCACGCTTTTTAGTGCCTCTCACACTAGGGTTGCCCGCCAGCGTGGCTGGATTCACCCCGTCATGTGTTAAGCTGCTTCATGTAGGAGTGGCCTGTGAGTAGGTATGAGAGGGCTCTGTGCCCCTTGTCCCCTCTACAAAAGGAAACAGTGGAAAGAGGGCTTGGAAAGAGCTCCCAGGGATCTGGCCTGGTCACTCCTAGAACATGGAACTGCGGTAGGCAGATGTGTGCCTCTGCTGCTGACCAGCTGCAGAGTACGACGGGGGTGTGACTGAAGGTACTTTCTCCCTTTCTATCAGACGTGGCACAGATTGCAGTCCTTTTGGGCTCTCCCTGCATTGGCATGCCTCCAAATGCGTGCCTCTGCCCTGGCTGCCACTCAGCACTCCATTCTCGCAGGAGAGACGAAAGTGAAAGCCCTGAATGAGGCTGGTGCGGCCAGGCCAGAGATAGATGCACCTGTCAGGGAAAGAAGGAAGTGGAGGGAAGATACAGGGGCCCAATCTGGCTCACAAACGTCGGGGTTGAATGAACAGGTAGCAGGCCCCTTTCACGGGCTCTGCAAGGAATTCTGGCCTATATTTTGTGATTTGGGGGAGCAGCGGGCATCTGAGTTAGTCTGTCTCTCTTGCCTTGTCCAAGCCCACATGGTGACAGGTAATCTGGCCAGACCCATAGCAGCCTGCCTTGAGGGGGGCCCCCCTATCTGTCCAGCCTCCGGCCTGCCACTGGCACTCATACAGGAGCAATGAAGAAGCTGCAGTTTGAGCGCCCAGGGACCAGTGGACCCTGGCATCCCAGTTTCTCCTGAGGGCTTTCCTGTTAGTGCTGAGACTGGCCCCCAGCCCCTGTGGCCAGCTTGCCATCTGCCATCTGCCAGTGTATCCAAACTCTATGTATGTGTGAGAGTGTGTCCCTAGAGTGCCAGTTTCCTTTCAGAAGCCCCAGGAAGGGAGAGGAGTGCTCCCTCAACCCCAGGTAGCTTGGTCAAGGGGCTAAGCTGATGAGAACAGTCTGTTGAACTGGCAAACTTGCAGCATCCACTCTGAACAGTGGCGTGCCAGGGGCACTCTGAATAGTTTAAGTCCTGCCTCGCTCTCAGTATTTGGTTTTGGACACCAAAGATCAGGCCCAGCTTCCTCTCAGAGGCACAGCGACGTGCTCCTCTATCAGCCTGAGGGCACCACAGGGGCTTCCAAAGCCTCAGACTCCATCTTGCTAAGTCAACATGCTCTTTCTCTGTGGACCTGCTAGCATTCAGGAAAGCCGTTTGCAGGGTCATTGGGCTCAGCGGGGCAGTTGGCACACTCTGCCACACCGTACCTCAGCCTAGCTGTCAGGTCGTCCCTTTTGCTATAGCCTCTGTCAGGGATTTGATATGTGTGACCGCCGCTTCCCACAAATAGCCTGGTGTCAGCAGGTCTCCATGATCTGCGGGCCAGGCCGTGCCCTGGGCATGAGTAGGTACTGAGGGGCGGCAAAAGGGCCGTGTCCCCCTCCCTCTACCCAGAAGACCTGCTGGATTTGAGGGCATTGAGCCAGCATCATTTGTTCTCTTTGGAAGCAGCGTTTCCTAATGGTTTGTAGCGAAGGAGAGATGGCAGAGGAGGAACAAGTGCCGTGTGTGACACGGTAGGACAAGACACGGGTGCTGGTTTGGGTTGATCAGGAGCAGGCACATGTGAGGGATTTCCGCAGGCCCTTCAGCCTTTTGGCAAGGCCCAGACTGGGCAGGGGCCTCCGGTGCTGCCGCTGCCCTGCATGCCCCGGAGGACCCCCAAAGGGCCGCTGGACTCGCAGTGCAGCTTTGCCCTGGGAGCAGTGTGGCCGAACAGCCTGGAGTTTCCAAGGTGGGCTGTCAGCGAGAGGAAGCAACCCTTCCTCCTGTGTAAACAGAGTGAGCCCATATGTGCTCAGGAAGACCCAGTTGCTTGCTGTCGCCCTTACCTGCGGCATGTTCGCATACTGGTTTGCTGCTCGAGGCACTAAGCAGACAAAAACCCCATGAAAAACAGAAGTCATTTCAAGCAAAGGTGTTTTGGAAATTCTTGCTGTTTTGATGTCAGTGTTGTGATATATTTTAAATTCTTCATTTATGTTGCTGTTAGTGTAGTGAAGGGGATAGGCTGATGTGTAATTATTTCTGCCAGGACACTGGCAAATGCCTCTGCTTCTCTGTCTTCCCCCGCCCTTCCTTATTCCCAGGCTAGGATTGCTCCGCACCGGGCCGACCCCTGGCTCCCCTCATGCAGCGGCTCCCTTCAGAACCAGCCTTCCCAACGCCTCTAATCAGCAGCAGGGCGAAGCTCTTCGTCAGGCTGGTTCCTGGGTGCTCTCTGCCCCCTCCCGCAGTCTTGCTCACCTCTTGGGGCGTTTTGTAATGTGTTTTCTCGGTTTTGTAAAACCTTTTGATTGTACTGAAATGATTTCTTCAGTCACCTTTGGGAATAAATGGTCCTTCATTTGTGTACTCAGCGTTCAGAATCTAAGTCTCAGGTGTTTCTGTTGTTGAAGATCCCTGAATAAATAGGAACCTTCACCATGGGATTTATTGTTACAATGTTTTCTTCATTTACTGTTATTAAAAGATTTATGAGAACTCAGGAGTCCCGGCCTTGCTTTCCAGAACCCTGTCAGGAGGCTCTCTGCTTTGGGAAGTACACAAAGGGCGTTGTTTTTTGAGCCTTTCAGGCACTGGAGGACCCCCAGTGGGTGCCAGGCTCAGGGCAGCTTTGCCCGGGGAGCAGTGTAGTTGCACAGCCTGGAGTTTCCTACACTGCCTGCTGCCTGCCACCAAGGCAGCCGATGACCCTGTGGGCTATTTCCTCTTTTCGGGGCTTGTCTCCTGGGGACATTTTCTGGGCTTTCTGGGCCCTGCTGTGCGTGGGGCCAGGCTGGATGACTGAAGACTAGAAGGGAGCTTGTGAACGAACACTTCGCATTCAGGCCTGCTCTACCCAAGTGTCTCTGTGCCCTGCGGCGGCGGTCAGGCTGCCCAGAGGGGAGGAGCCAGCAAGATAATCCTGCCCTGCAGGAATGGTCAAAGCCCGCTTCTCCAGGCAACCCTCCGGGGCCTGCTGCCTTTGCACCACACAGATGGCCTGCTCCGTCTTTGCCAGTGCTGCTGCTTCGGGAAGGGGTACAGCCAGAGCTCAGGCAGTACAGGCAGATCTCCACATTTGCCGGGACTTGGGCTCCCAAGCTTCGCGTGAGGCAGGGGCGCGCAATCCTGGACTAGAAAACCACCAGTTTGGGAAAGTCCTTTCTTTTCTTGCTGCCCCAGGGTCTCCATCTGCAAAGCAACAGCGGCAAGTGTGTGCCAGGCACAGTGTGAAGTCCCTCTCCACAGGCAGCTCTGGGAGTCCCCACAGATGCTCCGTGAGCTGACCGGCAGTGCTGTCCCTGTTTGACGGCAAGAAGCTCAGTACCGTGAGGCTTGCTGAGAAAAGGAGAAGCTGTTATTCGGAGCCAGTGTTTTAGACTCCAAGGCCCATAAGCTTTCGTCGCTCCTCCAGGTTCCGCTGCCCCTTGGCTGTGCCGCCGTGCCTGGGAAATCATCGCCCTGAGGCCCCCAACCCTGAGAAGCAGGGCAAGAGACAGGAGGGAGAGACCCGTGACTTTATGCTTCAGAGCTCAAGCTGCTCTTTGCTTCTGCTGTCCAGCCAGCCTCAGCGCACTGCTGTAAGGTGTGGGACTAAAGTGGCTGGACACAAGGGAGCGGGCGAGAGAGCTAGCAGTGCAGGGGCAGGAAGAGGCCAGTGGAGGGAAGGTGAGGAGAGTTGGTCTTATGGCCTTGCCACATCTTTCTTTCAAGGAGAGGACCAAAGGCCAGCTACCAGAGCCATCGCCATCCCCCCCGGGCTAGTGCATCTGCCCTTGCAACCCATCTCCACTCTAGTCTCTTTTCCGTCGTGCAGGCAACAGTCTGAGTGTATCACTGCCCTGCGCCTCTGAGCCTAGGGGTCCTCAGTGTGATGTTCAGGTCCTGGGCCGTGCAAACATCTCCATCTCCATCACCTCCCCCTCACACTCGGAAGAACCCTTCACGTTGCACTGCACTTCGTCACACCATGCCATTTCCTGCCTTCTTGCCTCTGCTCAGCTCCTTACTCTCCCCGTGTCTCCTCTGGCCTCAGTTCCAGTGTCAGCCCCTCTGTGCAGTCCTTCCTGCCTCCCAAGAATGTGCTGGGTGCCTCTCCCCTTTGCTCCTGCAGTGTCTGGTGCTTATTCCGGGCACTATTTGCTCTCCCCTTAGGTTCATCACTCGTCGCTCTCCCTCTTAGACTTTTGCCTCCTTGAGTTAAGGGTGGGATCTGACTCTCCAGCTCCTACACAAGACTCATTCCATAGAAGGTGCTCAGGGGCTGAGGCTGTAGCTCGGTGTGTTTAGCATGCGTGAAGTCCTGCGTTCAGTCCCTGGCACCCGCCCCCCCGCACAGGTGCTCCTTGAACAAGGATCTCATCCCTAATTGCTGAGAAGTGGTAGGAGATGCCATTGTTGCCTGAGAGAGACCCCTCGGTGATGTAAGCTATCGCCCTTTCCATGAGCTCTTTTGGATGCACGCAAGGTGCTGCTATTTGCCTGGGAGCTTCTAGCTCCTCGGTCAAAGCCCCATCCTGCTTCCCTGTAAGGCGCTGTGTAAGTGTGTCCTGAACGAGGAGGTGGTATTGCGAGGGAAGAGCAAAGAGAACGTGTTCCACCCGCTCTGTCCCCAGATCTTCGGTCAGTGTGGGTGAGCAGGGTGTCCAGCTGCTTTTCTGTAACTTGTTTATTGACACCTGGGTCATCCCTTTCCTTCCCTAGGGCACACAGACCTGGCGTTTCTGCGGCAAAAGCCCCACCAGCCAGTCCAGTCCATGGAACATATCACCTGCCCCTTTGTGGGGTAGGCAGCATTTTGAGATGGTTATATCCTGAACCCCCAGGGAGTTTGTCCTTTTCATGTTTTGCCAAGGCCAGTGAAGCAACAGTGATACACAGATGTCAGCCTGGCACATTCAAAGGTTTATCCAAAGTATATGTGGTTTAGGAACCTTGGCAACGGGCAAGGCTGGCCTCATCCCAAGTCAAGATCTCTGTTACTTGCCCGTCCCCCAGTCAGCATTCTGCCCAGCAGTGAGATCAGGCACCTCGGACGTCTGAGCTGCCAGGCACAGGTTTCCAGGCCTCCCGAGACTGCTCCTGTTGCTAATGGGTGCCCTCTGCAGCTGACTTCCTGACTTCAGCTCTGCAACTCCTGTGTGCCAGCCGTCCGGTATCCGGTACCCTTGGCATCTCATAAGGCAGTGTCAGGGATGAGAGAAGTCATTTCCTTCACATGTCTTACCTGGGTAACATGAGTTAGTGATGTACTGTCCAAAGACCCAGACCCAGGCACCAGCAAGTTTTGCCGCTGGCTTCTGCCCTCCCCTCTCCATCCCAGGGGCTTGTAGAGGCGGCACCAGTCTGCTTTTGCTCTGACTTCAGCTCTGCCTTCCCTCATACCCAAAAGCACTATACTCTTTGCTGTTGCGTATTTAGAAAGACTCTGGATTCTAATATTTTGCCCTTTGAGAAGAGCGAGGCCTCCTGATACTCCCAACTCGTGCCCTTGCACTTGAGGCATGCCAGATACCATTGTACAGGACAAGATACCACTGGTACAGTGGCACATAAATTTTGTTACATATTAGTCACCTGGGGAGCTTCAAAATCTCAGTGCCCAAAATCATAATTCAGAGCAAACATTTTTATTTTGCTTCTTGAACATCCAAATTATGAGTCACCTCCTTAGCCTGACCATCTATACCAGTGCCTTTTCCTAAAATGAAACCTATAAGACATATCAAAAAGTATGAAGAATAATATCTAAATGTAGCTTAAGAAAAAGGACATGACCCATACAATTGAAACCCCTTACCCTGTAGAGTTATAAATTGTTCCTCAGCACCTCAGAGCTTCTGCCAAAGTGCCTTAGAGGCCGTCATTAGGGATCAAAAATGGGTGGGGGGCTGAGTGGGTGGCCGCCTGGCCTTTCCCTCTGCCTCACATAGAACAACTCCCATCTCACCCTGTTTTGTTCATTGAGGTTTTGTGAATAATCTCATCAGGAAAGGGGTTTAAAAGCCACTTACTCACACCCTCGCTAGTTGTATCTCCACCCCTCTCTTAAGTGGCCACCCTGTAGAAGTCAGACAAGCACTTTAGAAATTCTGCAAATGGGACCCGCTGTCCCACTTTTCTTGTCCTCAGTCCTGGTGACCCTGGCAAAGTCAGACCTGTCTGAACTCCGTTTGTAAAGCAGGTAATAAGTGCCGTTGTCCTGCCTACGCCGCGGGGCAGCGGAGAGGAGCCCAGTGAGGTAACTGCCTGTGAGAGGACCTCATGGACCACAGCGTCTGGCCGGTGTGAAGCGTCCCTATTTCCAGGCAGTGTGCTCACCGAGCTGGTTCTCAGAGCACAGAGGTTAGCTAGAGTTTTGACTGCTTTCGCCCACTGTGCCATACCGTGCCCTGAGTCACTGTGGTCTGCTGTGTGTGTGTGTGTGTGTGTGTAGGAGAGATGATCTCTCCATTTTAAGGATTTTTTATCTCTTTCATTGGCTCTAAGACACTTTTTTTTGTATTTTAACATCTCTAAAATTGCAGTGTATAACCAGCGGCTTTTTTCTCTTTCAGCAGTGTATAAAGTAACAGACTTGTTGAGTTGTCTCAGATCAGATGCTTTGTGGGACATGAGAGGGAGGGAGCAGAGCGCATATGCATAAGGAGGCCCACCGTGCCAGATGACAGGGAGGGAGCCACACAAGCCAGGCCCGATCAGCCCCAGCAGCCTGACTTCTTTATTTCCCAACCACAGGCTGGCCAGACAGCTCAGTCTGCTTCCCCTGGAACTTTTAGGGCTAGTCATTGCCAGGAGCGAGGTGAGCTGGTGGGATTCTGGGGACGGGAGGCAGAGCCCAGCCTGTCTAGAAACTGGTGGTTTGATGTGAATCGCTCTTTGGACCACACGGAGGAAGACAATGATTTTCTCTCCTCCTTGAACAAGGTGGAGGAGGATTAGTGGGTCTTTCAAGGAAATGTGGTACTTTTGCCTAGGGTGGCCTAAGCCATGAGTATTTCACTGCCGTTGGAAACCTCCAGCAGCCCCCATTTAGTCCTGGCAGACGCTCAAATGGAGCTTGGCCCTTGTGACCTTTAAGCCACACTCTTCCAGAAGGGAAAAGGAGTGTCTGCAGTGTGATCCAGGAACACTTGCACACAAGAAGCGGCTTTTGGACATTTTCCCCCTAGAGAGCTTAGCAAGACATGATCAGCCTGGATTACAGCTGCCCTCACGTAACTGGGTTAAAGTGTTGGCCTACTTAGGCCCCCTCCTGCAGTGGCCTCCTTCAAAGCTGATGAGGCCGATTAGGGGGCTATTTCTGAGCCCTAGTCACCGACCCAGAAGCCTGGGTACAGTCTTCCCCGGACTAGACAGACAAAAATTATGTCTGGACAGTCAAGGACAGAGTCTGCCCTGCTCCTGGGAGAGCAGTGCCATCAGACCTCAGGTATCCTTGTAAAAGAGAGAGCCAAATAATGTCAAGAGTGGGTCCCTACATTTTGAATGTCACAAAA